TCTTGTTTAATCCCCCTTCTTGGGATAAGGTTATAGAAATAATTTTTGGTATGAATTCTGAGTTGAAGGTTGGGCCTGATGTTTTCACGATGAAGTTTTTTTAGAAAACTTGGCATATCGTTGGTGAAGGTCTCTTTTCTATTATTCTTGATCTCTTTGATGGTAACACTATACCTAATTTTTTTACTGCTACTTCTATTATGCTTACTCCTAAGAATAATGCTATCACTTCTTGGAATGATTTTAGACCTATTAGTCTTTGCACCTTTTATTAGAAACTGATATCTAAAATTTTAATGAATTTTTTAACACTTTTGCTGCCTAAACTGATTTCCCAATTTCAAATGGGTTTTATCAAAGGCTGTGTTATTACCAATAATGTTCTTTTGGCTCATGAATTTTGTCATGTTTTGGACGTTAAAGTTATAGGTGGTAATATGATTTTAAAATTTGATATAACTAAGGCTTATGATAATATTGATATGAATTTCCTTTATGATATTTTGAAGTTATTTGGTTTGATTTAAATTTTATTAATCTCATTATGATTTGTATCGAAAACATTTATTTTTCTATTATTGTTAATGGAAAAACTAAAGGTTTCCTTAAGGCATCTCATGGCCTGAGATAGGGTGACCCAATCTCTCTGTCTCTTTTCATTATTGCGGATGAATATCTTTCTAGAGGGCTTGCTGATCTCTTTGAGAAGTTTCATAGCCTTTAATTTAAATCTTTAGGTGGTTTTCATATTTCCCAATTATGTTTTGCTGATTATTTTATTATTTTTACTAATGCCTCTTTAATAGGGTTCATAGATTATTGAAGTTTTTTTAACAATTTAAATTGGTGAGTGGCCTATCGCTTAATAAACATAAATGTGGTTTTATTTCTACTAAAAAAGGTTTTTTGGATCGCATTATGGCTATTAAGAATTTAACTGGATTCACTCATATTTGGGGTGGAGAAGCTTGAAAAGTTACTTCTTATCATTTTAAACCTATTGGGGTGGTGTGGATACCAAAGATAAAATAACCAAAATGATTGATTAGTATCCCAGAATTCCAAATTAAGTAAAAAATAAGAGATATAAAGATACTTAAATTCCATTATTCTAGTTCCTTTTTTCAAATACCAACCTATGCTTAAAATATATCTAGAAAAAACAAGAATGGTAAATAAAATAACAGAAATAAAAAAGTAAGAAAAAGTAATTCTCCAGGAAATAAAATATGATTTTGATTCCTCCACAAGTTCTTTCCTTTTGAAGCTTCTCCACCTTCAACCAATCAACAAACCAGGCTTGAACATCAATTACATTAATCATTTCATGAGATAAATAATGAAGTGGCTCCAATACCACCACCAAGAATGCCCAATTTCTTACCTCTAAGGCTCCCTTTAATATGACCAAATAAATTTGAATCTTTGATAAAATGTTTCTTCTGACAAACCAATTTTGAAGGGAGTTGGAATTTTCCATCTTCAAACAAGGGTTCTCCACTATTCTCCAAAGAAGAAATAGCATTCTATTTCAAATTTTTAGTACCTTGAGGACAGTTGCCCGAACCTCCTTCACCAACCAGCTCTTTCCCTACTTCAGTTAAACCTTCCTTACTTTAACATTTTTCTTAAAAGCCAAATTAGAAGCCAAATCAAACTCTCCATATTTAGAATTTCGAGAATTTCTCACTATACTTTCAATAACCATTTCTCTGAAATCAGTTCCAGTATTAACAATTTTTTCCTTGTTTCCATCCGGTATTGATATATCAACAATCTTGTTTCCATGGAGCTCCTCTTGATGATTAGTATTTAAATTCAAACCTTTATCCACAACACAATTCTCAGCATTTTGATCAATCTCTCCTTCTTCTAATTGATCTGGAATTTTTTAAATAAAAAACTTGATTCAGGATTTTCTTCTTCCAAAATTGAGACTTAAAAATCTGAAACTATCTTGTGATCTTTGGATTGTTTAATGATCTACTCAACATCAAATCTAGACAATTCTTTGGCAAAGACTTGAGACAACAATTTAAACATATTTTCTTAAGGAACATCCGTTGATACCATCATGTTCTCTCTGTTCTTAATCATGGGCTGAAGTTCAGATTTCTGATTTCGATTATTCTTCATTCTTCTATACTTCTTAAACTTCACATGTATCAAAGGGTCACAAATCATTTGTGAATTTGCAATATCCATTTTTTCCATCAAACTCTTATGAAGACTTGTAAGAGGAGCTTTAGAATTAATTCCCTCAACTTCATTCTAAGTCTTGTTTCCCACATCTTTGAGACCATCTACACAACTTTCAATTTTGTGGCCTATTTTGCCACATTTAAAACAAAAAGAAGATACTTTTTCATATTCAACTCTTTGGAAAAATTTTCCATATAAACCTTCAATCGAAACTCTTTGAATTAATTTAGAGTCTAGATTAATTCAAACACAGGCTCTAGAAAATTCATGTCTACCCCATTTAAACATTTTTCCATCCAATAATAATGGAACTCCTATCTTTGAGATAATCTTAGTAATATTTGTCTCATCCCAACATTGTAAAGGCAAATGTGGCAATCAAATCCAGATTCGTAAGGCTAATCCTTTCAATAATGTTGGAGAAAATTGAGGTGAAAAATTATCCATTTCAATTATGTGTCCTCTCACATACCAAGGACCTCCATTAAGCTCTTCTTCCATAACTTGAGAAGAATGATATGAACACAATATCCAGTCAAGGCCCAATGAAGTGATATGAAAACTCTCAAATCTATTCCATTTACGCCTTAACTCAATGCTATAAAGAGAGAAATGAATTTCTTTCCCAAATACTTTCACCACCAAAGATTTTTGCAGTAAATTGATATTTATAGAAACCTTCTCCATATTATGTTTAACAACATCTAAATCCACATCTTCTATCTGATCAAGATTAATAGGGGGCACCTTGATGTGCTGGCTTTTAGATCATTCATTTACCAAACAACCAAAGCGATTATCTGGATTCAGTAAAACATTTTTATCTCTCACCAATAGTGTTTCAACTACATAATTCAAAATTTCATCATGCTTTGACATTATAAAATCTGAATTCAAAACCCCCTTTTTTTTACAGCATAAGAAACATTTTAAAATATGTTTACCTTCAGTTTGAAGCTAGTTGATGATGAAGCCTTTGGATCATTCACTGCTCTAGAAAACATTTTCTTTGATGGTGAAGAAAGAGATGTCGGACACTTCTTCCTTTCCAAATTTTCCATTGACTCTTTCCCCTTGCCCATCACCAAAACCACATTGTGTATCAGAGGTAAACGACCTTCATTGGTGACCAAAGGCCATTGCTTGATCACAAATTCCTTATTTGAAAATTTTCCTTTTGCATCCAATGGAATTTGAAGCCTGGAAGTTGATGGGTTTGAGATATTCCAGTCATCAAAGGATGACCGATGACTCTCTACCACCATAGAAAGGTGAGGCTGAAAAAACTCAATGAAGAAATTTGAAAAAAAACCTCCAGATTTAGTGGACGTTCTCTCTCCAGCTTTGGACTGGTGTTTTTTTCAAGCCGTTTACTATTAGGGCCTTGGTGGTGGTAATACTTTCTTTTGGAAGGATCTAAGTTTGGAGGCCAATCCATTAATTTTATTATTAATACTTCCTCCAATGCTTCTATGAAGGTTTTTTTTTTCACTGAAAATGGTTGGGATGTTGAGAAGCTTACTAATGTGTTACCTAATTTTAGTACTCAGAAAACTTTGTAGATACCATTAAACATGGATTCTCTTGATGTTCAGCATTGTACCTTATCTAAAGATGGAAACTTTAGTTTAAAGGATGTCTGACATTCTTGTAGAGCTAAGAAAGAGGTTTCTAAGATTTTCAAAATGATTTGGCATTAAAGTATTCCCTCTAAAATTTCTATTTTTGTTTAGCATATTTTACATAAGTTTATCCCTACGGTTGACAATTTGATTAAACGTGGTTTCATACTTCCCTCTAAATGATGTTACTTTTTTATGGGATTCTAGAGAGAGAAGGCGTCGTTTCTAAATTTTTTATTTCCCGGGTTTGGTTCCGTTCTTCACGGAATCGGATTCCTTGGTGGCGATGTATTGCCGCCGGCCTCCTACGACAGTGGCAGGTATTGGATTTACCATGGAAGAGGATCTGTATTGTCGAGTTCGGTGGATGGTCGTCGATTGTATACAGGGTTGAAGGATGGTAAGTTTGTTAAAATGGATTCTTGTTATCAAGATTTGGGTGGTGTTAGTCGGAAGGAGTCGGGGGAAGGTGCCGGTGCTCGTCCCTTAGGCCTGTTTGTTATCAAGGTGGGTTGTTTGGATTTTTCCAAGAAAGTTATGTTCGTTGAAGGTAAGGGGAAGGCGATTGTTGATGAAGTAGCAACTGGTTCTCATGTGATAGTAATTAAGATTTCAGATACTAATTTTGTGGATTTGGCGACGAATTCTTCAGAAATGAACAAATATGTTAATAGGTTCGGCAATTCAAATGCAATATCTGGTTTAGGCCATGGGATAAATGCGAATATTGATAATTCTGTTAACATAAGTGTTCAATTCTTACCTAGTTTTGATTTTGGAGGTACAAAGTTGGTGGATAAGATGAATAATAGAATGCCTGTGAAGGAATTATCGGAGGTGGATGAAAATCCATGGAAGAGGAAGCCCTATATCAGGTTGGATTTCAATGAGGATGATAAGGTCTTCTCGAAAGATGGTATGACTGTGAAATTGGTTGAAGAAATTGAGGTTGCGAATTCTCAGAAGCTCCAGAATTCTTTGGTTATCAAGGTTTTCGGTAAGGAGATTCCTTCTCATGTAGTTGCTTGCGAAGTTAGGAGGTAGTGAAAATTGTTTGGGAAATTCCACTTTACCACTTTGGGGAGGGGGTGGTTTTTGTGCTCCTTTGAGTCAACTGAGATGATGGAAGGTGTTTTATCGGGAGGGCCTTAGTTTGTCAATGGCTCTATTTTGGGGATGGAGAAATGGTCTTTAGAGTTTTCAACTCTTTCTTTAAAAGATTTAACCTCCCCTATTTGGATTAGAATGCCTCATCTTCCCTTGCAGTGTTGGGATAAAGTGAATGTGGCTCGAATTGCTTCTTCCATTGGTAAACCTTTGATGATGGATGGTAATATGTTTCTGTGGGGGAAAAGGAAATTTGCCAGAGTTTGTGTGAGGGTCAGGCTAGACCAGTGTCTTCCTCTAGGGGTTTGGGTTGAGAGTATCTCTGAGAAATTCTTTCAAAGATTTGAGTATGAGAAGATTTTGACTCTTTGCTATGGATGTGGTATGGTGGGACATCTCATATCTGAGTGCAGATTGAAGGCTGCTGGGAATTCTGAGAAGGAAATGTATATTGGTGAGTCTAGGGGAACTAAGGAGGTGAAAGAGGTTCAGGGAGAGAATTAATTCTGATCCCTCTTATGGTCCTTGGATCATGGTTAAGAAGAAATTAAATAGAAGACTGGTTATCCAGAAGGAGAAACCGAATTCAGTGAAAAAATAGTGGGTGAAAATGGATGGAACTCATGATGAATTGGATGGGAAAATTACACCAGGTAATGGAAATTATGACAAGGTGAAAGTCATTGCTGCAAATATTCACTTGGAAGAAGGTGAGATACCTGGTGAAGAGGAAGAGGTGGCTTATGGAAGGGATTCTTCCTGGTTGGTAAATTCTGCTGTGAAGGTTGTTGATAAGGTTGAGGCTCCTTCTAAGATCAATGGTATGTTTTCTAATGCTAATCACCATGTTGTTTTAGCTGGTTTGAATAAATTTGCTATGTTGGATGGGGTGGAATAGATGTTGCTTGTGTTAAACCGTTTCTGGAGGATGTGGCAGTGAAGGAATTCCTCCTATTTCAGGGAGCCCTGTTGGTGCTGAGAGTGTTAAGGGGAGTAAGGGGAGTAAGTTTGCTACGAGGATAGAGACAGAAGCTAGTTCTAGTGGAGAAATGGTGAAACGGAAGCTTGCTAAAGAGCTTAGAGCTTTGGGACCTATTAAAAATAGTTCAAGAGGTAGGAGTGTGGATGGTGGTTCGAAGAAAAAAGGTGGGGGCTCTCCCCCCAGACTCTTTTAATGGAATCTATTATTTTATGGAATTGAAGGGGGGCCAAAAAGAGGGAGGCCTTCCTCTACTTAAAGGAGATTATTAAAGACTACAAAGTATTCTTTGTAGGGTTGCTTGAAACTAAAATTTCTTCTCTAGATAAGGATTTGTTTGCAAGATTGATGGGGCTTGGTTGGGATTATTTCATTCTTCCCTCTGAAGGGCTTTCTGGTGGTATTATGGTACTGTAGAGATCAGATATGGCATCCTTTTCTATTTTGAAAACTTCAGATCATTATGTTATTGGTGATCTCAATGTTTTCAGTAGAGGTGTTTGGATGATTTATATTGTTTATGCTAGTAAAGAGACTCTGAAGAGAAGGTATCTTTGGGAGTTTGTTCAGGAGGCTTACAATAGAGATATTCCTTCTTTTGTTGGAGGGGATTTTAATTGCATTTTTGGCTCAAGAGGACAAGAAGGGTGGTAGAAGGTTTAAAATCAATCAAGGCTCTTTGGATATGTTGAAGTTTATGAATGAGAATGACTATCATGAAGTCGAATTTGTTAGAACCTGGTACATTTGGTGCAATAACAAGAGTGGTGGAGGAAGGATTTTGGAAAGGCTTGATAGGTGTATTCTTAATTCCTTGGCCATCAACAAAATCCAAATTACCTTGGTTAGACATCTTGCTAGAGTTTCTTCGGACCATTGTCCGATTGTACTTAAGATGTTTGAGTCGGCTTGTAAAAATTAAAGTGGTATAAAGTTTGAAGATACTTGGCTTTCCTTTAAGACTGCTGAGCATATTGTCTCTAGTAGGTGGAAGAGACCATTTTTGGGGGATGACATGGAGGTTCTTAATAAAATATGTAAAAGGACATTGAAAGATTTATTTTATTGGAGCAAGGCTAGATTGAAGAATTTCTCTTTGGAGAAAGACAAATTAAATGCTGAAATTCTGGTTTTGCAAGAAGAAGAATCAAGGCTTGGGTGGTTGAATGAGGATAAACTGTGGTTACTTAAAGCTAAAGTTAAAGAATTCAATGTTGTGCTGAATAATCTGAATACCAGGTGGAGGAAGAGAGGAAAAGCAAAGTGGATTAAGGATGGTGATGCAAATACAAAATTCTTCCATTCTTTTGCCAACTCTAGGAGCAATGTCAACTGGATTTCTCAAGTGAAGGATTATAACGGCGTGCTGAATGATGATCCAGATATGATTGAGGAGGTGTTCAAGAGGTTTTTTCAGGTAATGTGGAAATCTAGGATATGTAGCCTTGCTGGGTGGCCAAATCCATGGGCTTCTTTGCTTGACAGTTATAAGGATTTGTTGAACAGGGAGCTGGATGATGCTGAAATCAGTGAAGTTATCTTGAATCTGGGCAGTAATAGGGCTCCGGACTTTGATGGAATCACATATTCCTTTTTCAAAGCTTTTTGGAAAATCATTAGAGTGGATGTAGTGCGGGCTGTGCAGCAATTTTTCCTCACTAGTTATACGAATAGACACCTTAGTTGTGCTTATTCCTAAATCTTCTAATCCCAATATTCCTACGGCTTACCATCCCATTAGTTTATGCAATTCAATTTATAAAATTGTTGCTAAAGTTTTGCTTAATAGAATGGTGGATATTATGCCCAGGATTATTTCTGAAGAACAAGCGGCTTTTGTGAGGGGTAGGTCAATCTCAGATCATCTTCTTCTTGCTCAGGAAGTTTTCAACAAATTGAGATTTTCCAAATCTTGTAATGGATTCTTGGAAATCAAAGTAGACATGGAGCAAGCATATTATAGTATGTGTTGGTCTACTTTGGAGAGAATGTTAATAGAATTGGGGTTCCCTTCCAGGTTTGTTCATTTGGTGATGGAATGTATAATAGATCCAATATTTTCTATTGTGATTAATGGGTCTAATTTTTGTTGGATTGAAGGGAAGAGTGGTTTTCTTCAAGGGTGTCCTTTGTCACCTTTTCTTTTTATACTTTGCTCCCAACTACTTTCCAACGCCTTCCGTAGTAGGGGTACTGAGGTGGGTATTAAGATTTCTGATAATGCCCAGAGGATTTCTCACTTGTTATTTGCAGATGATATTTTGCTATTTTTGGAAGCTAAAGTGAATGTCATGAAGAAAGTTAGAAAGATTATAAAGGATTGTTGTAGGTGGACTGGTCAAAATATTAATTACCATAAATCTTCTTTGGTTTGTGGTAATTCGGTGGACAGGAGGAGGAAGGTGCAGATTTCTAGATTTATAGGTATTAAGTTAATTGATGAGTTTAAGTATCTGGGCATCAATTTGGCAATGAGACGCTTAAGGAAGGCAGATTTTCAAGGTTTGTTGGACAAATGCTGTAAGAAAATTAAATTTTGGGGGAATAGATTTGTCTCTTTTGCAGGAAGACTAGTTTTGGTTAAATCAGTTTATCTTTCTCTTCCGATTTTTATTATGACTCATTCTCTTATTCCGATGAAAACATTAATGGAGTTGGAGAAGATTTGTAGATATTTTATATGGAATAAATATGATGGTAAGAGGGAACTTCATTACATGGCATGGGAGCAAGTTTGTAAGCCAAAGGAGTATGGAGGTTGGGATGTTCACTCAGCTGTGGCTAGGAGGGATGCTATGAGAGCCAAATTTTCTTGGAAGTTGATTGATAAACCTGAATCTTTGTTAAGCAGACATCTTAATGATAAGTATGGAGCTAATTGGTGGAATTATCGGCTGTATGGGAGGAGTTCCTGTACTTGGAAGATTTTGTTTTCGGAGAGGAATGCACACACAGGGAGCATGTTAGATGGAGAGTTGCTGATGGGGTAAGAATCAACATGCTGAAGGACATTTGGATTCTGGACAAGTCTCTAATCAAATGACCAATGTTTGTTGGGAATTTTGAGGATGAAGATGTTACCCTGGATTTCTTCATTACTCAAGGCTGCTGGAACCGGGTGAAACTCATCAGTTCTTTGGGGTTGATCTCATGGATCTGATCTGTAAGGTATAGAATTCTCCCTGTTTGCCTGTGGATAGTATGGAACTGAGATTTAAGATGACTAGAAAATCTATTTCTTCTTTAATTATGGAAGACAATTATAAGAACATGGATGGTGTTGTTCCATTCAGTAGGGTTTATAAACTGAAGTTGAATGCTAGACTAGAGGTGTTTTTATGGCGACTGTTCTCGGATGCTCTGCCTTCAGGTGCTTTCCTCTTCAGAAGGAAGCTTGCTGATAATTCTTTTTTCCCAATGGGTTGTGAAGTATTGGAAGACATCAATCACATTTCATCCAGCTGCTGTAAACTTCGGAAGGTGCTGGATGTGCTGAGAGGTTGGGGATTTCAAATACCCGTTTTTAGTGGATGGTTTGATTGCTTGGAGGGTCTACAGCGGCTTAAAAATGGTAATTAGATGATGGTAAAGATGTATTTTACTGTTATTTGGTTTGTTTGGAACCATAGGAATAAGGTCAAGCATGGGAATCCTAAAGAAAGCAATGTGTTTATTGCTATTTCTATTCTCATATTTATCAGCCAGGATTGATCAATCGGGTAACTGGGTTGTTAATCAGTCCATTGGCCTGTCTTTTGATAAATGGCAACCTCCTCCCCCCGGTTAGATTAAGATCACCTTGATGCTTCTCTCAAAGGAAATTATGAGTCTGGTGTTGGCGGCATTGTAAGGGATTGTAAAGGAAGGTTCCTACTTGCATTTGGGAGGAAGAAAACGCATTGGGACATTGCCCAATTGGAAATGTCTGCTATTTCCGCTCTTACAGAAGTTTTGCATGGCATATTTGATGGGGTTGAAGGCATCATAGTAGAAGGTGACAATAAAAATGTTATTGATATTCTTCATAAAGTGCACATTATACCGAAGAATATGGATAGATGATTGGGTTTTAAAGATTCTTCTTTTCTTAATAAGGTAAATAAGGTGATTTTTCATTGGGTTAATCGCAGTTGTAATAGATTAGCGGATTATTGTTCTAATCATGCTTTTTCTTCTGATTTTCTTTGGGACTTGTTTTGTGAGAATGAATTACCATCTTCCTTTTGTAATATGATGAAGGAAGATTGTGTAAGAGTTCTTCACTCTCAGTAGTTTGTATTTAGGCTTTGTTTTCTCTTTCTATGCATTTTTAGCATTCTTAAAAAAAAATGCCAATGTTACTATCATATGAAAAATATGCATCATGCCTTTGTCTTTGGTTCTTGTGCTGTTAAGGAATGGACTTATTTTGAGGTTATTTTGCACTAAAAAGGCTTTAATGCTAATATTTCTATTAAATCTTTACTTAACTATTGATTTTTTAATTCTAAAGGTCATATCAGGAATGTTACTCCCTCTCTTATCCTTTGGTTTTTATGGTTGGATAGAAATAATTCTCATTTTAATGGTTTGGTTATGAATTAACGTAGAATTATTCAAAATGTTAAAGATAACATTAGGGACCTTTTTTTCTTCTAAGTTACTTTCTACCAAGAATTTCAAAAATCATCTTATAACTGTAGTTGACTTTGGGATTAAGTTGGATGTGGATGTGTGTTATAATCTCCCTAGAAATATTTCTTGGTTGAAACCTCCTTGTAATTTCTTTAAGTTAAATGTGGATGCTATTAATAGAAAGAATATGGCGGCCTATGGAGGAGTCATTAGGGACTCCAACAATAATTGCATATTGAGTTTTGCTGGCCCTCATTATAATTGTGATGTTAATACTACTACCACTTTTGCTATCCTTTATGATTTAAGGTTGTGTTTTTCTCTTAATTGTATTAGTATTATGGCGGAGGTTTATTCTTCTTCTTACTATTATTCATTTATCTTCAGGAATAAAAAGAATTATTCTTCTGATCTTTTTTATATGAGGGGGGGAGGGGAGGGGGGGGGGGGGGGGGGGGGGGGAATTAAGAATTGGTTAAGTATGTTTAACTTCTGTTTTTCTACTATTCATGTTGAGGGAAATGCTTGTACTAATGCCATAGCCAATTGGAGCTGTGGGTTGGACTCCATAGCATATTTCATTAGTTCTAATTTACCTCTCCATGTTAGTGTTGAAACTTTGTTCAATATGAATTAGGTTGTTAGACTTAATGTTATATCCAAGAAGGGGGGGGGGGGGGGTGAATTGGTAATTAAAAAAAAATTACCCTCTCTTTAAACTTATAAAACATTTAGTGAAGTTTTTATAGAAACATTTTTTCAATAACACTTTCAAACAGAAAAAAACTAAAGTAAAAAAAGCAGAGTAAAAAGCAGCGAAAAATAAAAGACACATAATTTATAGTGGTTCGGTCAAACACGGCCTACAACCACTCCTCGAAGCCACCCTCTGAGTATTTCATTAATACCAATAGTGTCTCTCCTTTTTCCCCCACAGCAAGGAAGAGAAGCCTTCACAAAACTCTCTTCCACCACTACCCGGTGCGGCAGAGAACCATTGTCATTTTACACCCTCCAAGTGTAGGCAAGGAACCTTGAGCTGTTCACACTCTCCAAGTGTGGGTAGAGAACCTTCCATCCTTTTACACCCTCCAAGTGTAGGCAAAGAACCTCCTGGTGTTCACATTCTCAATGTGTAGGCAAAGAATCTTTCATCTTTTTACACTCTCTAAGTGTCGGCATAGAACCGTCACCCTTTTTCACCCTCCAAGTGTAGGCAGAGAACCTCCCGCTATTCACACTCTCCAAGTGTAGACAAAGAACCTTTCATCTTTTCACACTCTCCAAGTATAGGCCGAGATCCTCCCGCTATTCACACTCTCCAACAATAGGCCGAGAACCTTTCATCTTTTCACACTCTCCAAGTGTCGGCAGAGAACTGGATCTCCTTGAAAGATCTTCTCAAAAGAAATCTTGAAGGACAAGAGAAAAAGAGTGAAGTAATCACAATTCATAAACTTGAGATCCAAGTAAATCCTTCACGCTTGGAGAGTACCAAGTAAATCCTTACCTTTGAGTACCAAGTAAATCCTTCACGCTCCAATGGTAGGAACTCTCCTTCAAACACTCTCTCTCACTCTCTCCTTCTCACTTCTTTTAGTAAGCACGAAGACCAATAACCAAAAAGATTACAAGGCAGTTTGCAAAGGACCTTTGAAATAAAAGACACGAAAAACTATCTAAAAACTGCTAATTTTCAATTATTTATGTACATGATCATCCCGTACGATCGTGATTTCATACATAAGGACAGTGTAAAACTATTACGTACAAACTTTTATGTACATTGGGATGAGGTGACTTCGTACCCAATCATCATCTCGTATGAACTATATTCATCCGATACGAACAATTATTTAAAAACCACGTTGAAACATAACTACAGACAATCCATATGTTAAAAGAATAGGGAACATCGTCCTAAGATGAATGATCATGTTCGTCTTGACGAACAGTACAAACCTTGAAACCTGAGAAGATCAACCTGGGATGAATGGTGTATTTCGTCTAAATGAACTGTTCAAAATGAGAATCCTGAGGACATCATCCAGAGATGAACTGAGTATTTCATTTGGATGATCAGTTCAGAGTGAGGATCTAGAGGAGATCATCCTGGTACAAATTGAGTATTTTGTTTAGACGATCCATTCAGGGTGATGATCCCGAGGACATCATCTAGAGAAAAATTGAGTATTTCATCTCGACGATTAGTTCAAGTTATGAATCCAGAGAAGATCATCCTGAGACGAACGAACCATTTCTTCTGGACGAATAGTTCAAAGTGAGAAATCAGAGGACATCGTCCAGGGATGAATTGGGCATTTCGTCTGGATGATCACGACTTAGAAAATTTTTTTCACTTTCCTGTTTGTTCCATTGCTCTCCGAGGGGTATAACTGACTTGATCGTCCCGTACGAATAATGTTCGTCCCATACGATCAGTATAAAAAAATTGACCTTTTAAAGATCTCCCTCAATGTGTGTGTGCTAGGTTGCTCAATTACAATCATACTCTCTCTGACTCAATTAAGTGAAAAATACAGACTTCAATTTACAAAAATATGATATGCTGAATTTGATTTGAAGTCTTCAGTAGTCTTGAGTATGATTATCCTGAAATGTTAGTCCACACAAGAGCAAACACAATTCTTCCAAAAAGTGTTAGGAGAAAGTAATAATTGGAACAATAATATTTTGAATCATCAAAACTATACAAGTTGCAAGAATATAAAACATGCTAATATCAACTCTTAACAATTGATGATGGCAAAATAATTATTATTTGTAAATATTTCAAATTCTCAAGTATCTCCTGAACTCCTCCTGAATTGATAAGCATGTGAGAATAAGGAGGCATTTTCATAAGAGTTTCTTTTTTTTAAATACAAACAGAACAGATACGATACGAACAAAAATGATACAAACACAAACAGAATAAATACGACAGAACAAATACGATCTTAACAAAAATGATACAAACAAATAATATTTCTCCCCTTTTTTATAACAATAAAAAGAGAAGAAGAAAAAGAACAAAAATAGAAATGTAAGAAGTCATATGATAATCCTTTGATAATTAATCCTTGAAAGTGATTGAGATAAATTTGCAAATGAAATTAAAAATCATCCGGAAAATATAATAATTCATATGATTTAAAAAGAGATATAACATCGATAATAAAAAGGAATTATTAAAAACATAAGTTAATTTAGACATTGAGATAAAGAAATCATTGCAAAAAGGATGGACATAAAATTTATATACTTCAAATTTTCAATATCAAATAAAATCATACAGAAGATTAATTTGAATTAAAAGATTGAAAGATTAAGGAAAGAATTTGAACAAAATACCACTTGTGGCACTTTGCGCATCTTTTCAATATTTGTGCCACTTTTTGTGCAACTTTTTAGAGGTGGGCTAATTTTGTTCCTCTTTTCCAAATTGCGAACTTTTGCGCATTTTTTTTATTTTTGTATATTTATGCATTTTCAAGTATATTCTCAATTTTTCCAAAATCAATAACCTATAATCTTAAATTTCTCTTAAGTATAATAATATTTATATTGAAAATAGAAATACAAAATAAGAAAACATCACAATTGTAATAATAATATAAAAATTTAAATTAGTCTAATAAGAGACATGAAATTGACATTTTTAATTACATCAAGTAATAAGCACAACTTAAATTTAGATAAATTATATTTTCTAATGAATTCAATTTTGTATTGCAGTTCAAGGTATAGCACTTGTAAGATAAAAAATTTTAGGGATTTTCATATAGGCTAACACACATTTCAAAACAAGATTAAAAGAAAGAAAAAATAACTTATATTGATATCATGATGAAGAATATTACATTCAGCACAAATGATATCAATACACTCACAATCTAAAAACACATAAAACACAAAATACAAAATATAACATAAAAGCATAACAGCTAACAACACATCACTGATACAAACACATCACATCACATTGAAAAGCATAAAGAACTACATTGATCACTCAGATGGGCCCTGATCTCGAGGAGGTGGCTGGTTATAGAAATTAAAATAACTGCTCATCATAGTTATATTTGAGTTTATACCATCTATTTGCTCTCGCATCCAACTCATATCCTGATGGTACTAAGCATCCTGCATTTGTAGATGAGTTTCAATTTGATCAAAGCATTGATCAAAATGAGTCTCTAGAAGATCAAATCTGTGAACTAAATCTTGATAATTTGGTTCACCAGGAGGTGCAGGTGGAGGTACTCCCATTTCCTCCTTTGAGTCACTACTAATATGTTGTTCAAGATGTTCATGTTTATTAAAGATTGCTTGAAAAGATCCATCATTATAGTAGAGAGGCTCCTCAAGATTTGGATTTGAAGGGATTAGATTATAATTTTTCTCCAAAATATAGGTCACAAGATGTCATAAGGCTATATTTTTGT